GCATTTACAATCCAAGCATCCAGATAAGCATTTGTGGGCCCAATCCTCTTTGTTTAAGGGTTGCAAAGAGAAATTCCAAAACCACCTGTCAAAGGACTTCTCCGCATCCATTGAGAGAAATAGAAGACTTCTTGAGGTCAGGCAAGACTGGTGAATGAGAAAGTGTCTGGACTGTGTTGTCCCTCACCTCCTGTTATGCTGTGAAATCCTCCTAATCCCCCACAGCAATTGAATGCCTTAAAGAGGGAAGGGAAGAGAAGGTTGGCAAAGAGTTAATAATAGCTTGTTGGGAAGTCATCAGGACCAGGTCTTTTCTCTGGTTTTGTGAGTTTGAGGACCAATTCAGTTTCAGTCAAAGTTGAGTCACTGAGCCAGGGAGATGGGCGTTCACATTACTTTGTAGATAGTCCTTAACAGTAGTAAGGTGATAGTTATTCCATCATGTTTCATTAGTGAGATAATATAGATTAGCCAAATAGTTATGGGGCGTGTCAGCAATCTTATCAGGCATTTAATGCAGTCGGTTTCGGTCTGGGCATATTTTAGGACTATATGTAGCTGCTCATGCGGGCTACAAGAGACCCACATTTGTTAGCATTGGAATAGAAAAGGGTATTGTTTCTCCTTATAGAGATGTGAAATGATGTATTTGAGAGTTTAGATAGATCTCTGCATGCATTGTAAAGGGTTGAAGATAATTTGTCTGTCTGTGCCCTCTTCAGTGCTGTCCCCTTGTCTATGAAAAACCCACATATGACACACTTGTGTGCTTCAAAAATGGAGAAGGGGGTAGTATCTTCATTGTCATTTTTTGTTAAAGTAGTGGTCTTGTCTTCACTGGGTGTTGTAGACGAGCAAGTCATCTGACAGTAGAAATGTGTTAAGCCTCCAGTGTGAACGTGGGCCGAAAAAGTAGAGAAGTTATTGTTAAAGTGATAGGCGCTTATTCAGACCACATGCCTATACCAGCGTGCTAAAATTAGCGAGAAAGTAATAAGGAAATATAGTCAATTCTTGAGTAGGACAAATGTGGTTTGGAGTAAAAAGTATAATCCCTGTCATCTGCACGTAGGGCTCACCAACAGTCCACCAGTCACAGGTAGTCCAGAGGCCTTCTCACACTCTGTAAAATATGCTTAGGGATGAAGGAAGTGTATACAGAGATATCTAGAGTAGAGTTAAGAGGTACATTAAAATCGCCCCCAAGGACTAAACATCCCTCTGTAACACCAGATAGGGCCTTCAGAGCCACCTTAAGGAACTTATCTTGGTGACGATTTGGGAGGTATAGATTAGCAAACATGTACAGTCTATCTAGGACCATGCCCTTAACCATGACATATCTTCCTTCCTGATTCATTGAAAACAAATAGGTTTGATTTGTGGAATAAAATAGCAGTACCTTTAGATTTGCCTGCGTGGTTGTGTGCATGGTACTGATGTAGCCTTTGTTATAGATGTGATTAGGTTCCCTTCCCTCCTGGAAGTGAGTCTCTTGCAAATACACTGTGTGTCCTTTGGCGTTGGACTTGTGAGAGGGTGTGGGATCTCTTTTCAGGTCTATTAAGGCTCTTGGCATTGAGGGAGATAATGGTGAAAATGTTACGCTGAAAGGGGCGTGATAGTCGAATAAAGTTACCAGTTGGGTGGCAGGAGAGCTATTGATACCCTAATAAATCTTGCCTAATGGTAGGAAACGTCTAAGACAGTGAGTGTCTGCAACATAAAAATAATCAATAGAGAATAATAATAATAGGCAACAAAAAAACTATGCATGTAGAAATGATGATAGTCGCAAAAAGTTGTGTGTACCTGGAGAATAATAAGCCAGTCCCTGCACCAGGAGAGGAACAGGAGCAGCCCTACAAAACCTAGGCACCTTAACCAGATGGGAGTTAAGGTCTGACCTCAGCAGGCACTTCAAAACCAGTACGAGAAGCACTCCATCCAGGGATGCAAGAGCTGATGGTTTTATAATACTACAATATCTGTTCATACCTGACCAGTCTCCAACCCACCACAGAGCGAGTATGTGCAGAATGTAAAAACAATAAAATAGTCTATAGCAGGGGTTAATATCTCCCGTGGATGCCTTTTTGGGGAACCCCAAAACATTTTGCACCATAGCACAAACCTTCTAATTAGCAAAGTGTAATGTTTTAAATCCTGGCAAATTTTGTTTTTTTGGTATATATAAATACATATACCTTAATTTCTACAGATAGTAAACAGATTGTAGTACTTAGAAGCAGGTGCAAAAATTTTAATACATGGGTATGTTTGTATGCAATGTTTGCATTTGCGAGCAGTGGTGTGTTTGGAGGCAGTATTGGCTTTCAAACGCAGATGTACATTCGTATGTAGTACTGGTGTTTGAGCGAGCATACACACACTCAGATACACACATTGACACACAGATACACACACTAAACTGGCACATAAACTCATTGGCACATACACAATCTGACACACAGATTAATACACTGGCATATACACACACTGGCACACAGATACACATACAGGTACAAACACTGGCACATACACACACACACTCAGATACACACACTGACACACAGATATACACACACTGGTGCCTATACACACACTCAGATAAACACGTTGACACATTCAGCATTCAAGACAGTTGCCAATCTTCCCAGACCATGCAATGCTCAAAGAAATTGCAAAAAAAAAAAAAGTTACATCTCAAACTCTACAGGATTTAGTTAGCATGTTAAAGTTCATGAGGGTTGCCTTTTCTTTCTAGAAAGAATGTGGCAGCATGACTTAGGTGTGTAAAGTAACATCTAAACCAGACCTGCACAACCTGCGGCCCCCCAGATGTTTTGAACTACAACTCTCACGACTCCCTGGCTAACTGCTTAATTAAAAGAATCATGGGTGTTGTAGTTTAAAACATCTGGGGGGCTGCAGGCTGTGCAGGACTGATATAAACAAACCATAAAACTTCTGGAACAATATTCATTGAACAGACAAGACCAAAGTGAAGATGTCTGGCCATAATGCACAACACCACATCGTGAAAACCTAACAGTGCACAGAATATCAGCACAAACACCTAATACCAACTGTCAAGCACAGTGGTGGAGGTGTGATGATCTCGGCTGGTTTTGCAGCCACAGGGCCTGGGTACCTTGCAGTCATTGAATCGACCATGAACTCAAATGTGAGGCCATCTGCTCAAGCTTGGTCAAAATTGGGTCATGCAGCAGAACAATGATCGAAGTGGAGATGATCTTTTGCTCTGTATATCTACAGACACCACAAAGAAACCCTTGTGACACCTTACCTCAGATCCATCACAAATCATTTTTGATTATTTACTAACATTGACACAGGTTATAATAGTCATTTAACTACAAAGCTCTTTTCAGAACTATTATTTTTATTATACATTCTTCTCTCCCCACCTATATATGCCATTATGGATTTGGTCTTAGTCAGCCCATGCCTGACACTCATGAGAGTTCCAAGGTAAGTGTAGATAATTAGAAAAAATTCACTTTATTTTATTATATATGTGTGACTCTTTTCTTTAAGTGTTCTACTCATTAAACAGTGGGCTAAAATAGTCAAGATCAAAAAACAAAGATTGGCAAAAATGTGAATTTGACTACATTTTTCACCAACGTAATTAACTATTTCAGCCTAATTATTTTGCAACTCACATTACCACTTTCTATTTTAGGAACAAAAACACAAAGATTATTGACTAAATATAGCCATATTTTTAAATTCGTAGAAAATAAGGAGTAATTTATGGTAAATTTTAGGGGTGAAAAAAGACTCAAAATTTCACTCAATTTGCATCCTTTTTGCAAAACCTCTTAATTGTCTCAAATGAGCTTCCAATTAGAATCATCTGAATCCATTTACAAATGCTAAAAAATATTCCTAGTTTGGGAGTGGTGCCTGACCGCAGAGCCGAGTGGTCGACAACCTCATGGGCTCCTGCATGAATCCGCTAATTAAACTACTTTTCTTGACTCAAACGGAGACTAATCGGGCCTTTAGACCCAGCAATTGACAGGGAACACTGAGCGGAACATAATGATACCCCTCAAGCGGCGAAACGAGAAATTTATGCCGGACGAACGTCGGAGGCCTACTCGACAAGTGGGAAAATTGGGTCATGCAGCAGAACAATGATCGAAGTGGAGATGATCTTTTGCTCTGTATATCTACAGACACCACAAAGAAACCCTTGTGACACCTTACCTCAGATCCATCACAAATCATTTTTGATTATTTACTAACATTGACACAGGTTATAATAGTCATTTAACTACAAAGCTCTTTTCAGAACTATTATTTTTATTATACATTCTTCTCTCCCCGCCTATATATGCCATTATGGATTTGGTCTTAGTCAGCCCATGCCTGACACTCATGAGAGTTCCAAGGTAAGTGTAGATAATTAGAAAAAATTCACTTTATTTTATTATATATGTGTGACTCTTTTCTTTAAGTGTTCTACTCATTAAACAGTGGGCTAAAATAGTCAAGATCAAAAAACAAAGATTGGCAAAAATGTGAATTTGACTACATTTTTCACCAACGTAATTAACTATTTCAGCCTAATTATTTTGCAACTCACATTACCACTTTCTATTTTAGGAACAAAAACACAAAGATTATTGACTAAATATAGCCATATTTTTAAATTCGTAGAAAATAAGGAGTAATTTATGGTAAATTTTAGGGGTGAAAAAAGACTCAAAATTTCACTCAATTTGCATCCTTTTTGCAAAACCTCTTAATTGTCTCAAATGAGCTTCCAATTAGAATCATCTGAATCCATTTACAAATGCTAAAAAATATTCCTAGTTTGGGAGTGGTGCCTGACCGCAGAGCCGAGTGGTCGACAACCTCATGGGCTCCTGCATGAATCCGCTAATTAAACTACTTTTCTTGACTCAAACGGAGACTAATCGGGCCTTTAGACCCAGCAATTGACAGGGAACACTGAGCGGAACATAATGATACCCCTCAAGCGGCGAAACGAGAAATTTATGCCGGACGAACGTCGGAGGCCTACTCGACAAGTGGGAGCCACGACCGAGGGCCTCGATGCGCAAAGATCCCTGTTCCCCCCCTCTGGATTGTTGGGGGTCATCCTGGCCCTCCAGCATAAGGCAAGCACTCACCTCTGGGACACAGACCAGAGCCACGCCGCCCTGACGGCTCCACAAGGCCTGGCCAAGATGGCCGACGGCAGGGCTATTAACCTGCAACAGCAGAATGATGAGGTCTGGGCAACGGCTTTCAAGGCTAAATTCGATGAAATCTGCCAGCGCTTCTGGGACCGCATCGAGGCTGGGTGCCCACGTCCTGCACCGGTACCTGCCTCAAGGGCAATGAGCCAATGCACACCCCTTAAACCGCAGACGGGCCACCCGAATAAAGCGTTGCCACCGCGAGAACGGGCACAAGACACGGAGACCCGGAGGACAAAGCAAAGACCGGGCATCACCCGCACAAAATGGCCACGCAAAGGCCGGGCAAAGGCATCACAGAAACTGGCAGGAGGCTCCTATAGACCGTCCACCACCAAGCAGGGTCCCAACAGACCACAACCAGCAGGGCACCACCACTGGACAAAACGCCCGCCGACATCATCCGCCCAGTGCACCGCCAGCCCCGCTGGAACAGGCCTGAAGGGCAGAGACACTCAGCCACCAGACACACACCTAGCAAAAAACAATTCCTTACCACAGCCAGGACCGGAGAAGCCACAGCAGACCAGCACCTGCAGGTACGGGGCTCACCTCCTGCAGCCGATGCCTCAGACAGCACTGGGGGGCACTGATACTCCTCCCGAGTACATGTGGTTCCTGCCGAGAGCAGGAGTCAGGTGAACTCCCGAGACTTGAGTCGCAGAGACTATACTCACCAACCACCGAGGACACAGTAACAACCCACAATAAGTCTTACATAAGACTCTGTCCCCTTTACTGCCTTATAGTTTAGCGTGCACGGCCTTTCACTTACACAGCTCTTCCTGTGCCTGACCAGAGTTGCAGGGCTTCCATATGCTGTTTAAAACTGTCATTCACCTAGAGTAGCTTAAACTTCACAATATGTCCTAGATCTGATAGGTAACCCAGCGACTAGACTGCAAGCTTTGGACGGGTATAAACTGCCTTTTGTCATCAGGTTGTTGCTTGACAGGCCAGGAAAACACACTGCATTGATACCAAACATACTGCTTTAACTCTTAATGCTCTAGCCTGTTTCTATAGCCAAAGATATGTAATTGCATTAATTGGATCGTTCATAGCATGCTTATTGCACCGACCTAACTTAATTACACTTTCAATCTACGCTTAAATTCAAATGCTTAAGCCTGATGAAAACATAAAAATGTGCTTGTAGCGGAACGCCAATATTAAATCCACGAATTCCGCTGGTTCAGGAAGTAATCCACAGTCAAGCGCTGAAACAACAAGGCAATATCCCCAACCTCCCAGTAACCAGACGAGACACAGTTCTGAGAGTCAACTGAAATCCTTTTAATCGGCTGGACAATTTATACAAGTCCCCATGCAAGGGGTTTCCTGAGTCCCTTCCCAGGGGCACTCCCAGAGGGGACTACATGGGGGATTTACATTACAAGGCATTTTTCCCATCAGGCACTGCTGCACAGAGGGATCCTCCCACTGGAATATACCGTTAAGTGGATTATCCCTCCGTGCAGCAGAACTTACAATTCGTATAAAAATACATAACTTTATGAATATGCAGTCTATTTAAACGAATGGACGTTCGGTAGATAGCTGGGGTCTGAGCGCATCATTCGTGAGATTACCGCTCAGATCCCAGCTAAAATAACCGAACGCCGCACGAAAAACACATTTATTACAAAACATATTAAAAGAACCGATTGCCTTCCAGGGAATAAAATACCGAACGGCCTGGAACTCCCGAACGTCCTGGAGGCTCAGCGGTGTTCGTGCCGTCGAGTAGCCGTTTTTAGTACCATGCGCTCGACGACCTAGCACCGCTGAGGGAACAAAGGATCCAAGATGGCCGACCGCCGCATGGTCGGTAGTCGAACGACGGCCACCCAGGAGAGCCTCTAATTACCGATTGCAACATTGTTGCAATCGGTTAACCAGCGCCACACGCCTCTAAGTGTGTGGGCTATTAGGGGTAGTGTTTTCGGTTCACGAACGGCCCTCCAAAGTGCCGTTCGTGAAACGAAAGAAAAACCCCATACAAATCGCCATCTGCATTCGGCAGATGGCAAATACAGGCAACTCAGTACATTACAGGTAGCATACAACATATAGAGTAAAGTACATATCTCCCCCGACATATAGGCAACCCTTAAAGGTATAGTCTCTGGTTATAGTCCAAGTGGCTAGGTTTGCCACAGTGCTTGTTATTCATGTGCCCCGCATGTTAAGCGTGGGAAAAGCCAGAGGACTGCTTTTGGGTCACCTCTCGCCAGCTTGTGTTATATGTTTGCACTGCAAAAATAAAGAATTTAAAAAAAAAAAATATTCCTAGTTTAGGAATAAAAAGTTTCAAAAAGGAATGAAGTCCCAAGAATTGTCCATCTTAGTTACAAATCTCAAATAGAAATTCCAGCAATTTACATTTTCTAGCAGTGACACAAGTATTTAAAGGGAAAGAAAAACTGTCACTTATCTGGAAAATACATAATTGAATAAAACCCTGAAAATCACCTATAACTTGAGTCAGTCAGGTTCATTTTAAAGTGTTATTCCAACCTCCATAACCACTTATGCTTCATGCAAGGAATCTGTGTGTGCAGTGTTTCAGTTTGAAACAATGCCTATTCAGAGGCTCTGGTTGCCAGGCTCTGGTTGCACCTCCAGCAAGTGACTTACACAGCCTAGAACTTTGTTTTAGACTGTCTAATGTTAATTCTGTGCAAAAATAACCTCTGTTATCAGCACAAATTGTAGGTCGTATGTCCCCTCCATTGCTTGTTCACTCCCTCCCAGCTCTCTTCCTACTTCTCTACATTTAATTATTCAGATTGAAGTAACACATAAAGGAACCTGTATAAAATGTGAGTAAAAATGTCACATAAGTGAACAATGAAATGGAAAGAACTAAAACACACAAAAAATACAATCAAAACACACATACAAAAGAAAATCTTATTGTATCTACATTTTAAAAAATAATGTAATACATGCAACACACTTTCGCGAAACAAAATCACATGGTTAGATTTATTTTTTACAAAAATGGTTTGAAGAAACAAAGGATGCTTACCTACTTCTGTGCATTCAATTAATGACTGTGAACTAAAGAAAAGACATTGCAGCAATCTTAATTTAGCCACAAACTATAAATATGCTCTGACAGATAGCATAACTAAATTTAGTATTTGGCTTCTATGAGCAAGGGCAATTTTGGGCTATTTGAGAGTCTACTTTGCAGGTTTAAAATATACTTTTTTGTCAGGTTATTACATTGTAAAACACTGCCACATAGTGGTTAACTCTGATAAAATTAATTTTAAACTTGCAAGAGATACTATTGGCCAAATGTTCAAATGTTCAATTCACAAAACTCAGATTCAGCCTGACATCACACCTTTAGTTACAATGATCATATGAGAAGACTACAGTAAAATGACTGGATAAAAATTGTATCATAAGACAAAGTAGGGACTACTTGGTCTTATAATCAAAGCCAAACTTGAAAAAAGACAGAGCTCCTGCTATCAAGTTTTGTCAATCCCACACTGCTTTTTCTAGAGACAATTGTGGCAAACCCTCATCTTATCATGCATCATGAGAGTTGGTCTGTGGAGTAAGTTGTGTTCTCAGCTCTTCAGCTTCTCCCCCTGACCACAGGTAAGCCAGTCACTTCTGGGTGTCTGAAAAATATGCAAAAACCCCCTTTAATTCAGTGGCAGTATTTCTTCTTTATTGGATAATAGAACGATAACTTTAGTGCAAGTGGAACATTATTTCTCTACATGAAAGTAACGGAAAACACAATATGAGTAGAAGTAGGAATGCAGTAAGAGAATGCAGAACTTCATTCAGTAAACACAGACACATTAATTTATATTCCCATAGTAATTGTCGATGCTTTGCTATAGAAAACCCTATGTGTCTCATTCTCCCAGCACCCTCATGTGTCTCATTCCCCCAGCCCCCATGTGTCTTATTCCCCCAGCTCCACCCATGTGTCTCATTCCCTCAGCCCCATTCCTCCAGTCCCCCAATTGCCCAGCCTCCCATGTGTCTCATTTCCTCACGTCCCTGGCCCATGAGTCTTACCCACCAGTGTTAGTTTTGACAGCTAATGTCAATTAAGCTTTAGTCATAGCAGTGGCATACTAAGGGGGGAAGCAGTGGTGGGCCACCCCAGGTGCCACCAGGGCGCCAGGCAGCCACACAGCTCACACACGCAGGGGTCGGGAATGCAGCAGTAGTAGTACTACACACCAGGCACTTCACTGACTCCACTCCTCCAACAGTAAGTGAGAGAGAGAGAGAGAGAGAGAGAGAGAGAGAGAGAGAGAGAGAGAGAGAGAGAGAGAGAGTGTGTGTGTGTGTGTGTGTGTGTGTGTGTGTGTGTGTGTGAATGTCTGACTGTGCCTGTGTGTGTGTGTGAATGTCTGCCTGCGACTGTGTGTGACTGTGTGTGTGACTGTCTGTGACTGTGTGTGTGAAAATCTGCCTGTGCCTGTGTGTGAATGTCTGCTTGTGACTGTCTACATGTGACTGTGTCTGTGACTGTCTGCTTGTGACTGTCTGTCTGTTCCTGTGTGTGTGGGAATGTCTGCTTGTGACTGTCTACCTGTGACTGCGTCTGTGACTGCCTGTGACTGTGTGTCTGACTGTCCGCCTGTGCCTGTGAATGTCTGCCTGTGACAGTGTGTGACTGACTTTCTCTGACTGTGTGTGTTACTGTCTGCCTTTGCCTGTCTGTGCCTGTGTGCGTGAATGTCTGCCTGTGACTGTCTACCTGTGACTGTGTCTATGACTGTCTGCCTGTGCATTTAAACATTTATACTGGCGCCGGCCAGTAGGTGTGTATGGAGAGAGACAGGGATATCATATGAAGCTACATCTATCCCTGCTTCTCTCTGCTGACTGAAACCGCAGGGGAGCAGCACATGCAGGCAACAGAGACAGCCTACAGATGAGGTAAGTGAGGGATGGGGAGGGGAGATAGCCTATAGATTAGGGGAGTGAGGTATGGGGGGGAGATAGCCTATAGATTAGGGAGTGAGGCATGGGAGATAAGCGTATAGGTGGGGAGTGAGGCATGGGGGGAGATAGCCTAGATGGGAAGTGAGGCATGGGGTGGAGATAGCCTATAGATTAGGGAAGTGAGGCATGGGGGGCAGCCTGATTAGGGAAGTGAGGCATGGGGGCAGCCTATAGGTTAGGGAAGTAAAGGCATGGGGAGGGAAGCCTATAGGTGGGAGAGAAGTGAGGCATGGGGGGCAGCCTAAAAGATTAGAGTGAAGTATGGGGGCAGCCTATAGATTAGGGAAGTGAGGCTTGAGGGAGCAGCCTATATTAGGGTGTGAGGAATGGAGGAAAGTGAGGCATGGGGGTCAGCCTATAGATTAGGGAAGTGAGGCATGGGGGTCAGCCTATAGATTAGGGAAGTGAGGCATGTGGAGTAGTCTATAGATTAGGGAAATGATGCATGGGGGGGTGCAGCCTATAGATTAGGGAAGTGAGGCATGGGGGGGGCAGCCTAAATAAAAAGTCAGCAAGGAGTAGGAAGGTAAAGTAAGATAAGGAGCAGAAAGGAGAAGGAACAGAAATGAGCAGGAAGGGTCTGCAAGGAGCAGGGGCAGCAAGGAGCAGGAAGAGTCTGCAAGAAGCAGGAAGGGTCTGCAAGGAGCAGG